GGTGGAAGCGAAGTGTCTTGACAGCAGGGGAATATTCCAGCTTACAGAGGAGTCCTCAGGGGCTCACGCAACCACTTAACGCAAGGCATGTGTCTCGCTGTGCAACACACACTTCTACACACAGACACACACAAACCTCCCAAAAGATCTCTCTCTTTGTCTCCGTTGTTCTCATACACACACATAAACTTTACACACTCCACACTGTGATTGGCATCAGCCCACAGTTTGCCACTTTACATCAAAATGATGACTGTAGTGCTTTGGCATTCTCTCTGCTCGCTGCGGCACCTTCAGAAACGTTCTGAGTCTGCAATCAGCCAGTAACAATAGATTTTAGATTAATGAAGATATAGTATCAGTATCTGTGTTGGCCAATATGTACAGAAAAATTATTTTTGGGGCTTTTTTATTGTCTTTATTTGATAGAACAGCTGAAGTGTGACTGGAAAGGGGAGAGGATGTGCAACAAAGCTGCTGTGGTAAGAACTCAGCCTCAGTACATGTACGCACATTCAGGTGAGCTAATGGGGTGCCCCACAAACTAGGTTTGACGTTATAAGGAAACAGTAGATGGGTTTCCATCCACCTGTTTTATTGTGTACTTTCAGTTTGCACAGAGTGGAAAAAAGTCTAAATATCGCAAACACATGGGGAAGGTGGAAAAGTTGACATACTGATAAAAATAAATTGCAACAAATCTGCATATTGTATTTTTAGAAATAAAAGGCTCTTGGACAAATGGGCTTTCGGTCCAATGGGACATGTTTTGGACTATTGGGGTTTTGATATAATGGGGTGTCTGAACAATGACCAGTCCCCACAGAGATGCTTTAGTCTTTTAATTTGCCAATCCAGATCACAAGTGCAGCCTCTCAATTATTAGCCATGACTGACAGTAAAAAGTCAAATGGAATTTAATTTTATATTAAGTCAATATATTATGCCCTATCTGGTATAATCTTATGTTTAAAAAATGCCATGGATTGTAACTTACTACGATTGATTTCACTCACACATTTTTAAAATCAACTGTTTATTAATCATGAATATGATTTGATTAGATTGTAAAAAAAAAAACTCCTCATGCACTGCCAACAACAGTCAGGTTCCGGTCCAGTGTTCGGTGGTTAATTCTGAATTCTTATGATTGATTATATGTTTTTAAACCCATTACTCACAAAACACCTTTAACCAAGAAGATACCGAAGAAGTATATATTTTGTACGTTTTAGAATACATGTATTAAGGCCGATCCTCACTGCTAACAGCCACAGTGAACGCTCACCACACCCATAACACCTACATCAAACCACTTTACATTGAAACTTCCATCCACAGTCATCGAGGGATGGCAAAGGTTGCAACATTGATGACGACAGTGTCACCAAGCCAGGGGATAGCACAGAAGGTCGGGGGTGCAGCAATGCTCCCTGAAGGTGCAATTAGTGCTCCGCTACAGGAACAAAGCTAGACAGGGTTCCTCCTCTGAACCAGAACATTGTTACACTAATTAATAACTCAGTCGCATCAGGGCGGCTTGAACACAATAACAACAGCAACAACAGGAAAAGCAAAAGAACAAGAGGAAGGGTTTAGTGTTTTGCTAACAACTGTGTACTGAGGTAATTAAAGGAAATCCTCACTAAAAGATTTCAGTCCTGTTAAAAAGTTGTTTGCAAATTGAAGCTGCAAACAGTTTAAGGACCATGTTTATGTCCGTGGTGTATTTTCTATATAATGCGCCTCAAAACTGACTAAATTTCCAGTGTAGCTGCAATGGAGTTTACTAACAGAAAAGATTTCAGCTCTCACAAACACAGGTTTCTCTTTCAGCCCTTAAAAATGGAAAGTGCAAGAGCATCTTTATGCCGTGAGAAATATACAACATACTGATCTCTCCCTCCAAAGCAGCTTTAATAGAACAGAGCCCAATGCAGCCGTAATGTGCAGACTATATTCACACAATGTCAGCAAAATGTAGGAAAAAACAAGAAATCCTGTGTTCAGGCATTTTTCAGATGTTTACCCCACTGCTATACTTGTAGTGACACTCCAGTAATTCCCACATTCCCAGTTTTCCCCACTAAACAGCTCTTGATTACAATATAAACAATGCAACATGAATGTGTCATAAATTGAAACTCTTATATTTCTATGGTTTCACCAACCTTTGGTGTTGAAGATGTTGAACTATTCCTTTAACTGAGCACTGACTGAAGTTGTATTTTTCCTTACAAAGGCGTTCATTGCTTTGCCTTGTTTATGTTCTGTTGACCCGTCAACCCTATTAAATTGTGGTTGACACTGTGACATAATTTGTACATGTCTCATGGTGTCACTGTTCATGACTTGCAGATCATTTTGGTCAGGACCAGTACAAGCAATGTAAGCTTATGTAGTCACTCAAATTTCTTTTTCTTATCAAACCTCTGTTTCATGCTCATGTTCTTTAAAACACATCTCAGCCCAGGGAGCTGTGGAGCTCAGTGGTTAAGTGGCTGATCAGTTTTGTTTGAAGACACTGGTCTATGTGCCTTGCTCAAGGGAAAAGCATTGTTTAGAAGGAGAGAGTGTTTCACTATTCACTGTCTCTGAATGAATATAATGTATATGAACATTTTGTAGTGTCAAAAAAAATCACAAGCATTCCCAGAGATGATGTTGGCAGATCATGAGTGGCTGATCGCAACTTTGTTTTTTCTCACAGCAGATGAAATGATATTTGATGCTAAGTTAAAACAAAACAGTCTTAGAAAAAGGATCAGTTTTCTTTAATTCATCTGCAAAAAATAGTTTTCTTGACACATGAAACCTCCAGTGGTGCAAAATAACTAAGTGTACTTTAGATAAGTAGCCTACAATTTTCAAAGAGACATTTCTTGTCTGAACTCTCAACAGTTTGAACCCAGAGAGGTCAGATTATCCAATATATCACAACAAGGCAAACATTATAGAAAAACGCCCAAAATATAAACACAGATTTACGTATTACAACTTTGTTTTTCCTCTCCCAGTAATCATCTTACAGTCCGACTTATCTTGTGACCCTTTGGAGGGGCACGGCCCCTAGTTTGGGAACCTCTGGATACAGCTCACTGTATAAAGTAATTAAAACTAGCTCTACTTCGAGCAGATACAACTGTAAAATGCTGTTTTACACATTGTTGTTGTGTCAGTATTAACAATCTTTTATATATCATAATTTACCTTGCAAAGGCACTTTAACCGCAGAGCGAGTACTTTTACTTTTGATCTTTTATTTATTATTATTTATTCAGTATTTAGTTGATGATACATTTATACTTTAAGTAGGATTTAAAATGCAGGACTTTTACTTGTAATAGAGTATTTTTTCATTGTTGTATTGGTACTTTTCCTTAAGTAAAGGATGTTAATACTTCTTCCATCACTGGAAACCTCACCAAGAGACATAGTGCAGCATTCAGACATTCAAGATTCTCTGCAACTTGTCCTTTATACTGTAAAAATGGTTCAGCTCATCTCAGAGGGGTGTTAGTGCTCCTTGGGGAGACCCTAAACCTCATAACAGCATTAATTTTCAATGCATCTCCTCTATGTCTGCTTTAGATGTAGATTAATATTTTAGTATCTTCTTGCCATAATCACATCACAGCCCTATATTCTGGGCTGAAACCAAGACTGCTTGGACAGGGACTTTGTAAAATGGCATATTAGACTGCAGAGGCGTCTCAGACATATGGGATCATGAAATAGTTGAGCAAGCATGCGTGCACGGAGCGACTGCTGTATCTGTGCGAGATGAAAAGAAACGCTCTGTGACTACACTCTCGTAATCTGAGTGATGCCGACACTGCATCCTCCCCCGCTCAAAGCAAACATTTCACATTTTGATTCTTTTTGTACAGAAGGTTTGGTAATTTTATTTGGTCGGGACACAGATTGACCTGTTTTTTAAAACTCTGCATTTTCAGTAGATCTGTTAGTGTAGACTATTTGTATTTTTCACTGTCAGTAATGCAAGAAAGTGTGGGGCGCCCTGGTAGCTCACCTCGTACCACTGGCACCTCATGTACCAAGGCTGAGAAAAAGAAAGTGCACTATTTATGTTGCATACTTGCTAACTGTATTTAATGTGTATCTTTTTCTGTCTTCCATTACTGTGCCAGTATTTTAAGAGGACATTCTTGTGTGTTACGTGGACCCCAGAAAGATGAGCAACTGCTATGGCAGAAGCTAATGAGGATCTAATGAAATAACCAAATTCAATAAATTAATTCAAATAAGTGGCTATGATGGTTGACAGAAATGTTGTTGATTTTTCATGTTTTAACACGTCCTTGTTTTCAAAACTACAGAAGCCAAGAACGGCCATGGATTTTTTTTTATGCACTGTTATATTGTGATAACGTCAAGATAACAAAGATCGTTTTCTCAGGTAACTAATTAATTAATGATGTGTCGTTTGATTCAACTACAAAGAGTGAAACGCTTCCAGTCAGTAACTAACATAAAGTTGTAATTTACGGGGGAGCTACAGTAGCCAGGTGGCTCGGAGTGTTGTTGGCAGCTTTGTACAAAGTTTTTTCTCGAGTAACTTTTCCAACATATGATGATAATGCGTACCCAACTGGCTGTGCTGTAGCCGACCGGTAAGTGCGGAAGCATCGTGGCAGCGCATTAGTTTAAATCAAGATGAACACATTATTAATTAATTCGTTATCACGAGAAAATTATCTTTGTTATGTCGAGATAACGAAATAATAAGTCGTTATCACGAGATAACAGTGCATTAAAAAAAAATCCATGGCCGTTCTCGGCTTCCGTAGTACGACAATGATCTCTGTTTTAAGTAATATTTGATTTAGAGGACCTCATATTGCTTGTTTATTAGCAGCATCTCTGTGTGTCACTTTTCTACCTTGTATTTCAACCAAAAGGCCAATATTACAGAACAAAGTGGTAGAGTGAGACAGCAAAAGTGGACAAATAACCATTATTTGTTTCTTGGCTCATAGGTTGTCCAATTGAAGAGCTCCCTCCTGAGGCCCCCCGCTGACTGTTAACAAGCACAACTCTGTACAAGTCTGGGAGCTTCATGAGTGTGTGCACATAACCTCCACTCCACCTCTGTGTGTGTGTGTGTGTGGCACCATGCTGTGGACAGTGCTACTAGCGCTGCTGGTGCTTCTGCTGCTGCAGACTCAGCTGTCTGTGTGCTTAAGGGAATTACGCAGCGGGGCTTCCAGCTCCCCTGCCTTCTCCTCTTCATCATCCTCTTCCTCCTCCTCTTACAATGCCACCCAGCAGCGGCTGCCCGGAGCTATTATTATTGGCGTGCGGAAAGGCGGCACCAGAGCCCTGCTGGAGATGCTCAATCTGCACCCAGATGTAGAAGTGGCAAAGGCTGAGGTAAACAACCATCACTGTCACCGAAAAACTGAAAGTAGGAAGAGTAGAATTGAAGTGCTGCAGTAGGTGCTGACCTCACCAGGGTGGGTCAAGACAAACTTGACACACAGACCACCCAACAAACACTACACATTTTGTCTTAAAACAGCACATTAGTCTATCCAGACCACAACAGCTTAAGAGTCAAACATCAGCAGCAGATCAAATATGCAACTTAAAGAGAGAGAGAGACAGAGAGAGAGAGACAGAGAGAGAGAGACAGAGAGAGAGAGAGAGAGAGCATGAAACAGCTGAGGACACACAAAAAGGCAGAACATTTTCCAAATCAACCAGATTATTTAAGGTTGATGGTTAAAAAAGTTATCCAATACCTGATTACATTTGATAACAAATCCATAATTTCCCAATTTAACAAACCTATTCAGTTCAGTTTAGTGATACTGACAGCACTGTAGTTAGGTGAGGTAGCTGGTGAAGTGACTCATTTCTTTCAGTGATTATTTTAAGAGCCTCTTAATAGCACCACCTATGCTTCTTCTGCTTCACTACACTGCATTTCAGAGGGGAAAAGCCTTTTGTGCGGTTTACTCCAATACATTTATTTGACAGTTGTACTTTTCAGATTAAGAAACAACATAATCTTAAAAATAAGCTATTATATGAAAGCAGTTTCTGATTTTACTGTACTTTACTGCTCATTTGCTCTCCTGCTAATCTTCTCAGGACCGCTCAGATTAATCTTTTGTTGTTGTTAACTAGCCAACTGATTATTAAGTAGATAAAACTAGCTCCAAATGCTGCTCACACATTGACAAATCAATATGAACGATCTAATGACGTCATAGTTAACAATATATCACATATAATATGTCACAGTGGACACTTTCCTGAAGAGGAAGTACTTTTACTGATACTGATACTCAAACTAGGCTACACAAAGCTGATGATACTTTTAACAATAATTTCAGCACAACTAAACTTGTTACTCTAAACTCCGGTTGGCTGTAGTTATGAGTTACCTTGCAGATTATAGTTCCACATTTACCTTGAGAATCATAAAATATAAAGCCTTTCTGAATTTGAAACTTCCCAGCTGTGTAAAGAAGTTAGACCCAGTGCTACCTGGACCATCTATAATATTAAAATGCTGCTTAAAGGTTACCATGTTAATAATTTACAGTGTGAAAGAGACCATTCTTCAAAATGATGCTTTTAGTTGTGATACTTGGGTATATTTTTCTTTTGGGTATAATGTGGGACATTATCACACATTGCCAAATACCACTTCATATGATTGGAGATAACTGCCAGGAATAACCATAAACCATTACATTTCATTCAGAGAAAGTTATGTCAAGGCACTGACGAGTCAAACCAATTCTAATACATTTGGCTCAAAGAATCTGAGATCCAATGAGAATTGGAAGTTCAACTTGCATATTAAGCCCACAAATCTTATTATATGGAGGTCAGAGACAGCTGTAAACATACATGAACGTAAGAAAAAATCATCAAACCTTTCAATCCATAAAGTTGGGGTGGTAGATGGAGCTGACTTGAAGGTATAAGGAGAGCAATAATGAGAACTGTGATTTAATAAAGGCCACCCTGTACGTCCATATGAATATACCAGTAATTGGATGTCACAAGTCAGCTGGTAGCCAATCAGCTGATGTATCAATGACCCACTGATCCTTAAGCATGAGTTAACACAGATAGCTGATTAGCTGATGCGAGTGCGACTTCAGTGCCAGAACTGATGTAATGGTCCAGTGGTGATAAATCTGCTCCACTAATGGACTTCATCAGTGTACTAATTGCTTCTGTAGCTAACTTCTTACTTCCCCTGCTGTTTAACCTGTGAAACTATTTAGGGGAATTTGTATCCCACTCTAGGTTGAACTTTTCCCCTATTATCATTACCAATGCAGAGAGGAAAAGATAAAATGAGAACAAAGTCAGCTCAGCCTATATGTGGTTGACAGTGTACTTGTGATTATGAATGATGACAGGGCCTGTCCCGAAAAGAGAAATCTTTACCAGGGTAGTCTGAGGTGAGGAACCAAAAGTTGGAAAGCTGGCAAAAAGGAATAGATTAGTTTGGACAAGATTGGGACAAAATGAAAAGAGCTCAGTGTTTTTTAATGGTGAAAGGGTTGTAGTTAAATTTCATCCCTACACATTGTTTCAGTGCAGCTCAAGAAAGGTTTTCAACACCACTGCATCAAGAAGTGAAATTTCATGGACATGTACTGCTTTCCTTATCTTCACAAACACTTCTGTCCCTCTGTCAGGTGCACTACTTCAACGTGGAGGAGCACTACCGCCGAGGCCTGGCCTGGTACCGAGCCCAGATGCCCTTAACCCTCCCTGGTCAACTGACAGTGGAGAAGACCCCCGGCTACTTTGCGGCCCCTCAGGTTCCTGCGCGCATCTGGGACATGAACCCCGCCGTCCGCTTGTTACTCATCGTCCGGGATCCAGCCGAGAGGTTGGTCTCAGACTACACCCAAGTCCTCCACAATCGCCTGACCCGCCACAAGCCCTACCAGCCGCTAGAGGAGCTCTTGATCCACAAGGGCCACATCGACCCTGGGTACAAGGCGCTGCAGAGGAGCCTGTACCACCAGCATCTGGCCCGCTGGCTGGAGGTCTTCCCCAGGGAGCAGATCCACGTGGTGGATGGCGACGCCCTCATCCGGGATCCCTTCCCCGAGCTGAGAAAGGCTGAGAGGTTTCTGGACCTGCCTCCCAGGATAAGCCCCAACAACTTCTACTACAACACCACCAAGGGCTTCTACTGCCTCCTGTCTGCCGGACACGACAAGTGCCTGGACGAGTCTAAAGGCAGGCCACACGCACCGCTGAGCACCCAGGCCTTCAAGAAGCTTTGTCACTACTTCAGGAAGCCCAACAAGTTGTTCTTTGAAATGGTGGGGAGGTCGTTTTCCTGGTGCTGATCCAGTGGAATAGCAACTGTGGAGATAAAGCACCTCCTGAACAATGCCAACACATTCAGGGACACAGAGGGAGAAAGAACTGTTGTTTGTGTGTTTTTGTATGTAGATGAGTGGAAAGATTTTAGTTCAGTTTAAGTCATAAACATTTTTTCTTGTTGATACCTACTCAGGTATAAATGTGGCCAACAAGAGCAACACATGATGTGTGTGAAGATATGAGGAGAATTCAAACTGCTTGTGTTGAACATGTGGCCAACACAAACCTTTACCATGACCATACTGGTGCCTCCTTGGATGAACTCACTTGAAGAAGCTACAAGACGACTGTGCCATACACAAGTTTGGAACTGAAAACACAACTAGAGGCCCGTTAGTGCTTTTGTATTTGTGTTAAAAGAAAATGTGCAGACTTTGAAGTGATGTAGAAATAGACAAGCGTTGAAAAGATGGTTGAATTGATTGTTTGCACTATAAAATCTAATTGCATAAAAAGTCAATGGAGGTTCAGTGTAGACAATTTCAAACAGAAAGCAACCCCTGGCATTGGTTGTAACATGTTTGTGTGTTAGTAAAAAATGTTTTAGTTGATGCCTCCTGTTTACTTCATCCTTTGTTATTTTACGAGGCAAACTTTTAGATGTTCAATGAAAATATATATTTTTCTGTTTTGCTGTTTTGACAGTAGTCACATTGAAAACTTGTTTTTGGTTTCTCTTAAGTTTCAAGGCCAATGTAGTACTATTTGTGGTTTTTTTTAAGACGTCAATCTAATAAATGTGTTCAGTCTCACAGTCTCCTGCCTGGTACCAGACTGCATTGAACCCAGCTGTAAAGGTTTAAAAACATCAAACATAACGACACATACAGACGCTGACAGGTCTCTCTGAAAGCTCCTCTCTTTTAAAGTGTATGGAGATGTTCTCTGTCAGGGTCGATCTAACATGTCCTTTACATTGAAGATCAAAGGACGCCTACGTTTCTTTTCATCATGAAGTAAAGGAATTACCTCCAGTTTCACCACCACACTAACAAATCACACTTGTTTGATACCTGACTTTATTCAAAGCCAGAATGGATTTCTTAAGTTAATTCAGTTCATATGGAAGGAATAGATCCGTCATGACATCAGTGTATTAAGTTGAAATCGTTGGATTAAAGGATAGGTCAGCTGTTTTTAACACAGACATTGTGCACAGATTTATGTGTGTCTCACTAACCCACACTCCATTAGACAGGATTAAACAGAGTTGAATCAGTTGTTTGGTGTATAAAGTGCGTGATAATAGTAAAAAAAATGCCCATGTATATTCCTAAAGCTAAAGTAATTTCTGTAAAGATCTTAGTATGTTTTGTCCGACAGTCCTAAACTAAAAAGTATTAAATTGAACACAATTAATTTGACATAAAAAGCATGATTGGAAATAGTTGATCAATTATCAAAATAGCTGAGTTCAGCTCTAAATCTGACATGAAGACGTGTTTAGTGGTGAACACACACCATAAAATATGATTTGATATTGTTTTATTTTACTCTATGCATAGAATTTTAATATTGTACTCGACTCAATTATAATGCTGTTTGACTTCTGACTCTCTTATTGATTGCAAAGATAAACCTTTTTATTTATTAGGAAGCTAACAGTATAGTCAAACTAGTTTTTACATGATTTACCCAAAGAAGCGTCCAAAATGATGATTTATTTCAGGTTTTACTGATGATGTTTTCATGTTGCAAAGAAAGGTTTTGATCAAATCTGATAGATCTTTTGATCAGAATGCATCATTCCAAGAAAAACATTGACAGTATAGCAGACAGAAGGTGTTTAAAAGAGCATGCGCTTTCAGGAATTGATTACAGGTTGAACCATAACTCTTGTTACACCAGCCAGCAACAGAAACTAGTTCAACATGTCTGGATTCTTACCTTAAACCGTCACTGTTTTTGTGTGGTGCATGTCAGGCATCTCCCGTTGGCTGCAGAAGAGAATAGAAGCTGAAGGCTGACCTCTGGCTGTCACCCTCCCACCGTCCTCAAGAGAAAACCGTAAAGACAGAGGGAGAGAAAGATGTAAGAATAAACAAATGATTCTCGCTCTTTGAAGATGTGAGGCGGCTGCGTCTTTCATGTGTTCCCACAGAGGTTTGCACTGATGTGGACAATACATCTGATGTCACATTTGATCAGAGAAATATTCACTACATGCGTTGAGGTTCCTGAGTTCGCAGCAGTTTCATAAGCTATGTGAGTTTCAGAGTTTTTCACACTGTCTAATTGTCGTAAAGGGATAATCATCTGGGTTACATTATGTTGTATTTCATATTTGATGTGAATCCAGCACTGGTGTTTCTGCTGCACTTCTTGTCTGTTAGTCAGTAAGTTAGTTAGTTAGTAAAAATAATTAATTTTATGTTTTTATCCACATGACAGGGTTCTAGGGATGGCAATGTTGGTCAGCTGGTCGGCCCACCACTTTGGTCCAGGCCAAAAAATCTCAACTATTCAATGGATGGTCAGGAAATGTGGTACAGACAATGACATCCACTCCGGTTTGAATTGTAATGACTTTGGTGATCCCCTGACTTTCAGATAATGCCATCATCAGGTCAAAATTTTAATTTTTGCAAAATTAATGAATTGTCAGCTAAGAGCACCGCTGTGCTAAAATACAGCCTCACAGATAATCTTTGCTGTAGTCTCATTTCTACAACAAACAGCAAATGTAAAACCAATCCTTTTTTCCAAGAAAAGATCTACCTTACAGCACATGCAGACCCACTGATAGCAGCAGTAGTTTGACTCTGATTTAGAAGACATTGTGTTTCTCCACTTAAATCTTGCCCATCATCATGTCCATTTGTGGCTGGTAATTGGACATAACTTTAATATTAAATCTGTGATTCAGATCTGAGGTTTTCTTATATAAAGAAAAGTCCAGCTGTGGGCCTTGTACATTAGTGGAGTTGTTACTGCTCTTGCAAAGGTCAGTCCTGTAAGTGACATAATAAGATCCTCACAGTCAGTGTTCGGCTGTGAGCCACCACGCAGCGGAAACAGCACGTTTTATAATTTCAGTCATTACACCTCTGAGTCAGACACGAGTAAACAAAACTTCAGAAGTGATGTTATTTTTTAATAAACCCCAGTTGTCACCCTCAGAGCTGCTTGTTCTTCTGCAGTCTCATCAATGAATCTCTTCCACATCATTCGCAGCCAATATAATAAAGAGATTTTCTGACACGTCAGCCAGTGGGAACTGGAAAGGAAATAATGAGATGAGCATGATGCTGGAGTGTGTGGATACAAAGGAGAAAACCATAGTTGGACTCTTTTAAGTTTCTGTCAGGGAACAAAAGTTATATTAGGCTTCTCATAAGTGACTGTGATAATACAGATTTGCTACAAAAATGAGGTTGTATAAAAACCTGTATATGTATTTAAATTAGCTGTTTAGACTAGAACGAATAGTTCAGCTCAAAAGAGCCCCGTTTTTCCTCATGTCCCAATACGAATTTGAAATATTACCTCACCATCTAGTTTTAGAGAATTTCTCCCATCTTCATACACTTTTGAGGAGTATGTAAGTCTGCAACTGATCTGAAAGCAGAAAAATGAAAAAATTAAGACAAACAGTATAATGTTTGCCCCTCACTGTGTCCTCGATGTCGTTTAAACTCCACAAATAGGATCCCAATTGAAACTATCAGTGCTTCTACTGTTGATACTTGAATAAATTATAGTTATTTTGCAAACACTTCACTTTTCATTACACTCTGAATGCAGACTGCAGAAACAAGACATCATTCCACATGGGTGATCAAAACTTCATAGAACATGTATTTGTAATGGAATGCATTTCCATTGTAAGGTAAATGATTTCAGTACTCCATTACTATTCCCTCCACAAATATTGACTGAAGTATGAATGTCCTTGTTCTTGAGATCTACTCCTGCTGTTTGGAAAGGCTGTAATGTTAATAAAAGTGAAGTCTTTCAAGGTTGAAGTGTTTCCACAGACATCAACAACAGCACCAATGTCAGAAAAATCACAACTAGCAATATAAATGTAACAAAGGGAATAATAAAATGAGAGTAAACATAACCGACATATTTCAGCTCTGAATAACAAACCTTGAGAATATATATGAGGTATATCACATGATTCTCACAGCAAGCAGCTGAACTGCTCCTTGTTCACGTTAGTAAAACTGCTACAGGACATCATGGGAGTGTACAGGTTGTTTAGATGAATGCAATCAATGTTATGTGAGACATTTTCTCTACAATTTAGTATCAAATCCCAGTGGCGCTGTAGATCACTCCATGAGAACTCTTTTCATCATCAAAGACGAGAAGCTTTGTACACTTGAAAATCACACAACTGCCCACACAACAGCACCCACTTACAGTCTCCACAGCACAGCATATCACAGCCGGTGTCAAATTCAGACAATTAACCTGTGTGAGTGGGTTTATGATACATTTTGATGAATATATTGACATACATCTCCATCTTCTTTATTCATTTTGTCAAGGTTACTTTGGGATCGGCTTTTGAACTTTTGAACAAATTCTATAGCAGTCTGATCTGGCGTTTATATAAAGAGATGTGAGATTGTACACTGATCAGGCCTACACAGACTGTGTTTTACTGACATGTAATACAATGTGAAATATTTAAATAATACTCAGTTGTGCAAAATGAAATACTGGCAGGATAGACAGGCTTTCAACTATAGTAAAGAAACACCAAACCCAGTTTTCAATGAGTACTGTTACTGCTATTTATATTTTATCCATTATTTTTTAAATTATTTTCACAACCAACTTCCCATCAAAAACAAGTGTGGTTCAAACCTGTACAACTTATTTTTTAAATCATGATCTGTACATTTTTAAATGATATCCTGCTGAAGGGAAGAAAAAAACAAATTTAAATTGATTATTTATATCAAATAATGCGACCATTAAATGTTGGCTTGTTGGACTTATCTAAGTCACTAACTTAATATTGTTCTCTCTCAAGTGTTGCAGATACAGTACAAACTGTATGTGACGTGATCACAGTGTAGAGAAATGCTTTTGTATCTTTTAAGCTATCTCAGTGGAATATTGTAAACAAATAATTGAAATAAAGGTTAGGTTAAACAAATCCTAACCCTGACAATGTTACATTATATTAAAGCGGCATGTACACTATGCTTTATATCTATCTTACTTTTGTAATGTATTTTTTTGGCAGCTCAAAAGAAAGTAATGCCACAAGAATTTCAAACGTGCTTACTAAAATATTTTAGAAAATTGCTGTAACCACAATATTGTCTACATATTCCTTAATAAGCCTTTGGGTTTGTCTCATTAATCTTTGCTTTAAAACTCCTATATATGCTGAATATTTTTGTAAAGATTCATTCGAGCTGGAGGAATAAGATAATACAGTTTGTCTCACTGATTAAAGTACTTATTGATCCTTCAGGAAAGGTAGAGATGTTATTGAGAATGTCAGTGGCTCCCCCTACTGGCAGATTGTAAAACCGCAAGACAATTCCTGTAGCTGGTTGGAAACTGAATTTCATTTATGGTCAGGTGACCAAATGAAGTTACGATTTGCTCAGTCAAATTAAATATATGCTACTCTAAAATAAGAGACAAACAGATGGAACATTTGTTCATGTAGACTTACTGTTGGAAGCACCTAACATATGACCTATAAAGTTCATAACTCCAAAAATAGGTTTCAAACCAAGCTAGGGATAACACTCAGAGGCTATTTATTTAAAGATAAAATACACATTTCCCTGAACACATAGGCTTTAGAAAAGGCTTTGACTTCTTTCAGGGTTCCTGCAGGTTTCAACAAGTTAAATTTAAGATTTGAGACGAATACAGTTTAAGCCAAAGTTTACGCCCATAGTGGCAAAAAAAAATTATGTTAGTGGTGAAGGAAAATTGGTATCTGTTCAATTTCACTTTCGATTTGTAGTTTGTTACAGCATGATCAACATACATTTGACCTAAAAAAACATTTAATGAGACTGACAACTGCAAAATGATACTGAAGACATTTTAAGGCCTAAAAATTCAGATTCAATTTTAGAGTTTAAGACCCTGCGGAGACCCGTATATACTACTGATATGTACTTGACAGATGGCTCTGAGGAAAAAACTGCAGGATCAGTGCTGCCTAACCACAGCAGCAGAGGATCACACATTTAATACACTTTTTGAACTGCATAAAACACAAAACACTGTAGCGGAAAGTTGCAATGAGTAGTTCTCAATTATTTTTCATTCTGATGTAAAAAATTCAACTTTTAATACATCACTATCCTTGTGCAGTTCAAAATATTACAGCAAGTATAAAGGAAAAAAAAGCACCATCTCACATTTAGCAGTTGTTACCCATTTTGCTGTCAAAAAAAAACATCTCCTTAAAAACTTGTATTATAGTAAAATATTGTAACTTCAAGAAAATAACCACGAAACAAGTTTTTTTTTTTATATAAAAAAATGGTTTTAACAATTTCTTTTTTCAGTATAAAACATTACAGAGTCCCAGGCCAATCAAACAAATTCACTGTCACAATCTGAAATAATCATGAACTCCCCAGTCAAACGTTCTACAATAACATACAAAGGGGTTTTTTTTGTCGTTAAGGGGTTTTCTGAACTTTTCTTCTAGTTATGGGAAAATATTACAACACAAAGCCTAACAATCACTCTTCGTTTGCTATAATATTAATAATAAAAAAGAACAAATGTGAACTCCTGGTCCGATCAAAGCCCAAGCCCCGAAATTTCTGGTCAACACGGCATCTATGCAGTCTTCTGCTGGCCCTTCTTCCCAATGAGGGATTTGTGGATGTGGGGAATTACACCTGAAAAACAAACAAAAAAACATCGGTGAGATTAAACGATTCATGCAAACGTAGCTGTGATCTAAAGAAACTGTTTCTACAGAGTGTGTGTTGCAGAGGTAGCAGAGCACATCGACACCAAGATACTAGGAAGCACGTACAAATCAAGACGCAAAACAATGATAAATGAAAAAAACTCACCTCCTCCAGCAATTGTTGCCTTGATGAGGGAGTCCAACTCCTCGTCACCACGGATGGCAAGCTGCAAGTGACGGGGGGTGATACGCTTCACCTTCAAGTCTTTGGAGGCGTTGCCCGCCAACTCTAGTACCTGGGAACAAAAAAAAAATAAACGACCATGAACAGACATTAACGCAAACAGCAGCCTCTCACACGAACACTGCGTGGCGTGACAATCCAAAGCCACCGTTAATCACAGACATGCACAGGCTTACTTCAGCAGTGAGGTACTCGAGGATAGCAGCACTGTACACAGCTGCTGTGGCTCCTACACGACCGTGGCTGGTTGTGCGAGTCTTCAAGTGCCTGTGGATACGACCCACTGGGAACTGGCAGGAAACAGATACAAGACAGTGGTTTGAGCGATATAAAAAGGGGGGAGGCCCCTCTGCCACGATGATGGAGGGTGTCACATAAGGTAAGCAGTGAAGCCACAAACGGCTGTATGAAGATGTGAAGATTTACCTGCAGCCCAGCCCTCTGGGAGCGCGACACTGCTTTTGCCTTGGCTTTGCCACTGTCTTTTCCTGCTTTGCCACCAGCCTGCATGGGCCAAAACAGGAAACATGGAGAGAAATCACACAAGGGAAGTAAAACAGGAGGCAGAAATGTGTGGAGCTGTGGTGTTACTGTGGTATTCTGAAAGATCCCTAAACTTTAAAGCACCTCAAGCTATTAAGTTAGTGGGTAAAGGAGCTCGAAAAACAAAATATTTGCGCATGAAGTGGTTAAATTACGAAAGGAAAAATCCAAAGACGAGAAGGTCAAAGTAAAAGAGCTGTTTTAGCTCATCAATGAGTGACGTTACAGATGGCCGGCTCAAACACTATCGATTTCCCGCCAATCAAATATAAAAGCATAACAAACACAAAAATAGCGGCAACAATAAGTGTTAGCACAAATCGCAAGCACAAACCCGATAATTAACCTGATTAAATTGAGAAAATAACAAAAAAAAATTAACAGCTTTTCTGACAAAAACACGTTCCCAGAAGCTGTCAGAGACCCCGCGACAAATAGCGACAGAAGCGCCGCTTTAAGACGAAGCACAGTTTGACTCATTCACCAAAAGTTCTTCTGTCAGAGGAACCACACAGCGGGTTTTACTCAATTAACCTCGTTTACAGACTTATCACGAAAACCTTTTGATCAACTGAACAGTTAACAGACCGTTGAGCTAATGAAGTAGCTCAACTTAGCTTCATAATGGTTGCTAATCCACCTTTCAGAGAGGCTAACGTTACACCGGGTGGAAAAAAAACTCTTTGTACTTCTACTGAAGCACTCACTTTCTGTAAAAAAAAACAAAACAAACACACGCAAATATAATATTACCGTTAAAAGAAAAGCAACATAATCCGGAGTTCTCGCGCTAACGCTAATGCTAACGCGTTAGCTGACAGTTAGCTTTGTAAGCACTCATCTTCTGCTCGGTTCAAATTCAAAACAGCACTTTCTACAGCGGCACAGTAATTACAACACACATGTACCAATATCCCCGGTAATGCATATAGCATACACCGAAGCGCACATACCATTTTTACGTCTCGTTATTTGATTGCAGAACTGGGTAGATGGCAAACAATTTCGGCTCCCGAAAGCAAAGAAACAATAAACCCTTTCGGAAATCTTTTGCATGAGACCCCTCGTGGGAGTCTGGGCAGCCAATCAGAACGCGTGTTGTTACTTCGAATCTCCGTTTGGACCAATCACCGAACGGCTTGCACATCATTCACCCATCCCCCACCACAGGATCATCGTGCCTGCTTTTGCGCACGAAACCAACAAGTAGGCGGGACTGTGTGTGGTGAGTGTCCTTCCAGGGGCATCCATCACAAAAATGTACAAAATACACCAGCAGGAGGCCATTGTAGGAATTAACTCCTGAATTTAGCTACCGTGGCACTCATAACTTGTTAAAATACGTGTGTGACTGCACTTAGAAACGGGTTAGGGCAACAGTACATTCACCAACGGGCGGCTGCAGTTAAACGTTAAACATGAGGTCATCACTGACATGGAGAACCGTTATGGATTGTAAATACAATATCCACTCGAATGTCATCCAGGAGGCGGTTACGTTCTAATGACGGACAGGGTAGCTGGCCAATGAAAACACGAGCCCGCTGTCTGATGTTGTGATTGGCAGCCGCAGCGACCAATCAGCGCTCAGCAGCCAGCGTCCGGTTTCCTCTGCGAGCTCGGCAAGCAAGGGGGGGGTGGGGGTCAAAGATACGCAGAGAAACGGGCTGCTGGTGGCGAAGATGGCGGATGGGGACAGTGGCAGTGAGCGCGGTGGCGGCGGCGGCAGCAGCGGTGGCGGAGGGGGAGGAGGAGGCGGCGGGTTTCAGCATTACCAGCGGGACTCGGAGACCCAGGAGTTGGCCTCGAAGCGGCTGGACATTCAGAACAAACGCTTCTACCTTGATGTGAAGCAGAACGCCAAAGGCCGGTTCATCAAAATTGCCGAGGTCGGCGCGGGGGGCTCTAAAAGTCGGCTGACCCTCTCTATGTCAGTTGCGGCGGAGTTCCGCGACTACCTGGGGGATTTCATAGAGCACTACGCCCAGCTTGGGCCTAGCACCCCGGAGCAGATCGCCCAGTCTTCCGGTGGGGATGACACCGGGCCTAGACGGGCCTTGAAGAGCGAATTCCTTGTGCGTGAGAACCGCAAATACTACCTCGATCTGAAGGAGAACCAGCGGGGTCGGTTTCTCCGGATCCGACAGACCGTCAACCGAGGCCCCGGTTTCGGAGTCGGAGTGGGTGGCATCCCCGGGGCTGGCCTACAGGCCGGGCAAACCATCGCACTCCCGGCCCAGGGCTTAATAGAGTTCCGCGACGCCTTGGCCAAGTTGATAGACGACTACGGGGGAGATGAGGAGGAGCTGGCCGGCGGCGGAGGGGCCGGGGGCTACAGCGAGCTCCCCGAGGGCACCTCCATCATGGTGGACTCCAAGCGGTTCTTCTTTGACGTGGGATCCAACAAGTACGGAGTTTTCTTACGGGTGAGCGAGGTGAAGCCCAGTTACAGAAACTCTATAACAATCCCCTTCAAAGCGTGGAGCAAGTTCGGGGGAGCGTTCAGCCGCTATGCCGAGGAAATGAAAGAGATCCAGGAGCGGCACCGGGATAAGATGTACGAGAGGAGAGCCGGAGAGGAGTCGGAGGGCGACGACGTGGACGACGATTGATGGAGAGGTGGCTACTTGTGATGAAGCTGACAACATGATGCAAAGCCTGGCGAGAAACAAGAGAAACAGAGAGAGAGGAACGACTATTCTGTGCATGACGAATCGAACTTTAAAATGCTAAAACAACGGATTAAAAGTAAAAAAAAAAAAAGTATATTTGACTGAGAAATTACTGTCTATATAAGAGAATCATGTTCTAAAGTTTAGGTGGATGTTATAGCTAAATGAGTGCGGACTGCAGAAGTCAGCTCCTGTATGAGATTCCCCATTGATAAAAATATATATATATATATATATAGGAAAATATATATAATATATATTATATATATTTATATATATATATATATGATTGTCTATTTGATAACCTCACAATTGTAGCCCAGCAAATTAAGTTTGACAGTGCTCAATACACAGCAGTAGGTTACCAGTCACACGTCCTGGTTGATATCCAATGGTAAGAGCTCACCTGGCGCCGACCTATAGTCTGTGGTGGTGATGATGATGATGATGATAAGGAAGTGTGGCAATCTCATACCAGCAGGTGCAGAGTGGGAGTGAGACAGAGCGCCTGCATCACTCACCATGGCTGTGTGTGTGTGCGTGTTATTGTCTGAAATGACCTGTAAGGGACGGCTTGCCCAGACAGACCCACAACACCCGGAGCCACAGTCTCAGCTATAGGGGGCGTCCTTGGCATCGCAGGACATCTGCTCGGCCCAGCGAGGTCCCGTAAGATGATCTGTTACAAGCACACGACTCATTTGGATTCTATGGACAATCCAAATGAGTCCAAATGACCTCCCACCCTCATACCCTTTCCTCCTCCTCCTCCCTCTCTCCCTCCTGGGCCATCCTTCAGGTGCTAACCTCCTGCTCCGATAGCTGAAATGTGGCGAGGCCTGCTCACACGTGGCTTCTTTTGTCTCAGGGCTGGCGAGTCCAATCCATATTTCTGGGTATATCAGCATTACCTGTGCCTGTGCGTCATCCTCAAGAGATCTGGTCGACTTGTTGCTGCAGCTGAGACGTCTGTGGCAACTGATGACGTCTCATGTGATGCAGGCCCACGTCTGACCCCTGTGACCTTTTTATCAAAAGGGGGACGCGGTGAGCTCAGGCCTCTAGCACTGTTCACAATTTTTCAAGTTAAAAGCTTAATATTGCCGGGCTGGAGCTACGGTCTCATGGGAATTGACCTTGTTGACGTATTTAGGGTGCGCCATTTGGATCCTTTAATCTTGAACTCAGACCATTAATGACTGAAGCAATATTCAGTCTGATTGTAAGAAAGATTAGGTGCTTTTGGAAAACAAAACCCACAATCGGGTGCTGTACTTAAAGAAAAAAAAAATAAAAACTATATACTGGAAGAGATTTACTTACTAAAAAGATCAAGTATAGATAGAATTATTTTTCAAAAGAGATATATTGAAATATGTCTTAGAAATGTGAGACATTTATTAGATAATGCTGCCTAAAGTGGCTTATTTAAAACACTAAACTTGGATGCAACTGTCCAGGGTGATATTTCATACCTGCTTTTTTCCTAACATTTCTTTTATTCCTTAGAGGAAATTAAGAAGAGTACAACAAATTGATAACACAGTATGTTACAGCAATTTCTAGAAACAGCTTCATTGAAGTAGTTTGTCAGCAAACACTCAGCACTCCAGTTCACTTTACATAGCATCGAGTTGCCCCCTCGTTTCAGTCCAACCGTTTAAACCATGTTTTGTCATAAACTGGCTTTCCATCAGTTGCCATACGACGCGAACGTAAGCACCTGCAATCATCAACATTTTGTCTTTTGTGCTCCTTTTTAAAAATATGATCTTTTTTTTTTGCATGCCTGCTCTTAAGCGGAGCTGCCTTGTGTTCTTTTCTTTTGCATATTCTGATTGCTGTATGATGGTATTTATCCATTTTTGAGAGCGGTTTCAAGTTTTATTTCTTGCAATGGAAAAAGAAAAAAGTTTAAAGTTTACTTCTCAGCCTAATAAAAAAAAAAAAAGAGCCACAAAGTTCCCATGCTTTGGGGAATGTCACTTTCATTGTCCCACTTCCTTTGGTGTGTAAACCTCTCGTTGAATTTTACTTTACCCACTTAAACACAACAAATGCAGAAATGCCATATGAAAAAAATAAACACCTGGGAGCAATAGTTTTTTTCTTTTCTATTGATACAAATATACTATATATAATATTACACATGAGATTGAACTACATCCTTCTTCCTGTACTGTGTTACGTGAAATGGCAGCTGTTTCAGTCGTGTGTTCTGCTGTAATATTCTACCAAGTTCCTTTCAACAAGAAATAAAAAAGGTTTTTGCTCAGGAGAGGTGTGCTCTTTTTATCCTCCCACTTCAGGGTGGAGATCACTCTATCTTTACCTGATCAGTGCAACAAAGTTGTCAGGATTTAAATTGTTGTTTTTTTAGGTAACTGCAGGACATTTTCTCAATGAACTGATTAATCATTTTGTCCATAAAATGTCAAAATATAGTGTAAAATGCTCATCACAATTTCTCAGTTTAAGGAGGCATCTTAAATGTAAAAATGTATTTGGTTTACACCCATATAGAAGAAGAAGTATATCACCTCTTATTGATCCGCCTAAGGGGGGGGAAAATTGTTTTTTCAACTTTTTTTTTTACGAATACACACACACAGGGCTGGCTGAAATCAACACTTCGATGCGCCACAGTGTGACAGCAAAGGCGAGAAAGATGGCGGAGAGTGATGGGGCCCTGCCGCGTTACCAGCGCCTCATGAGCAGGTTTCGGGGTTAGGTTGCCTTGCTCAAGGGCACCTCGGCAGTGCACAGGAGGTGAAACTGGCACCTCTCCAGCTACCAGTCCACACTCCATATTTTGGTCTGTGGGACTTGAACCGGCGACCCTCCGATTCCCAAGTCAAGTCCCTACACACTGAGCTTAGCATAGTTATTACAGTTCTTATTTTTCTTTAGTTTCTAGTTTTTCAGTTTATTTCCAGAGTGGGTTTTCCTCATTTCAGTTTAGTTTTTTTGTTTAAAAATGAAAGGTTTTAGTTTTTAGTTTTGTTTTAGTTAACTATTATAACCTGGGTACACAGTGCACTTGTTTTGCCCATATCAACTGACTTTAATTGCCCTTGAAAAAGACCAAAATGACCCTGAAATGTAGATAAAGGTTATGACAAAAGTCCTGATTAAAGATATCAGAACATCACTGCTGAGACTTTTGTAGTGACTTTATGTTTTTGTGACTGGTTGTCAGGGAGGGTGTGGAGCCTGATGCAGGGGACTCATCGCAGGGGCCGCTGCATCGAAGAGATCGTCTGATCCAGGAGAAACGGCTGGTTGAGGTAAATCAGTCAGTGTACATTATGTCATAAAGGCTTACAGTAGTTGTGTGTGTGTCTGACTTGTCTGATATGCTTCTATTGCATTTTCTTTCCTCGCTCATCAAAACTTTATGAATTTTGTGAAATATCTTGAGTCAATAACTAC